CTTTAAAGAGTTAATTATTAATTTTTTTCTTCCAAGCCGATTGATTTCGACCTTCTTTCACCTGCCATTAATTTTGTTTTTTCTTAGCTTTAAAACTCAAATCCTTATCGCAAATCGATTTTATAGCAGAATATAGTAAGGTCTAGTTTTTTTTTTTAGTATAAAGTAATAATCTTCACGCGATGTTCGAAGAGCACTCACGTATGTAGTAAATTGTAGGGAGCGCGCTGATCAGATACACGTAACAGGTAGTTACTACTAGTTGACAAGATTGCAACAAATTGATTAGTGCTTAAACCAGAGCTTTGAAAGAGCTTTAGAAAAAGTATATTTATAGGTAATCTTAACACTTATGTAGAGAAAAAAAACGTGTGTCTGGACTTATGTATACATATACGCACGTAAGAAATTATACTTCTTTGGCGTAACAGAACAAAAGCAGCTAATTTCATCATGTCGCTTTCAGCTAACTTCATCATGTCGCTTTCAGCTAACTTCATTATGTCGGTTTTTGGCTGTCGGTGTGCGCGCGCATCGTAAAAAATTTACTCTCATATTTTTTTTTCTAAGCGTGCCAAAAAATGTATATTCAAAAATAATGAATTACTAAAGCTGTGAACCATTTACTGCCTTTAGAAGACGCAGTTGTGATTAACAATGGATGGTTTATATTTAAACTTATAGAACCTTTAATTATTTACTTTCATTTGTGTCATGATTTGTTTAATGTTGCTAGAAAATCTGTATATAAATATAAAATAGGTAAAGACAACAGTTCAGTACTTTTTTCTTCTCCGTTTGACAACCGATTTTCTTTCTTTTTTGTTTATTAGCTATTGCCGAGTTTTAGCGTTATCGATAATATTTTTTTGGAAACATTTAGACACACCTTAACGTTTTGGCATATATGCCATCTATAGTTACACCATATATTTCTTAGTTTTTAAACCAAAGGAGTAAGTCGAATTTTTATACATCAATTTGTTATAAATTTATACATACATCGATCTAGATAGATTTGTTTTGTCTTACGTATCTACTCCAAAAAAAATCAGATTAGGTTATTAATGAATATAATGAATGATGGTAAAGGTACAATAATTTTCTATATTCGTGTCTTTATAAGTTTTTAATATATCGATAACAGAAAGTCGTGTAAGCTGATTATTTTATAAAAAATCCCTGCTGTTGCATTAAATGCTAGTTTTAAATCCACGTGCTTGGCTCGCGTAGACCGAGATACAGCGTGCCGCATTCGTCTCGCGCGGTCCTCGACCTCACTGCACGCTCAAACAACCACAATAGAATATTATATAACATTATCTATGCACTAGGATGGAGCAAGATTCAAGACTATATCCTGGAGCCGACTATGCTTGCTTTAAAGATTTATAGTTAATAAGGATATATAATTGTTTCAAGAGGTTTTATATTTGATTTTATATGATACGATATAATTTATTAGATACGATAATAGAAATAACTTATATAGTGATTAATGAGTAATCTCTTCTCTCTGAAATTCTATCTGAAAGAGATTTTTAGAATCGATTGAAGTTTTATACATCATCTTCTACAAAAAAAACATCTAAATGTAATGAAAATGTATAAGCATGGACAAAAAATCGTATAATAAAACTAAATTATTTCCAAGGCGCGTGATACCAATTAAATGCTTTAAACAAATCTAAATAGATAGATCAAACCGATAATATGTTAGTTCATTAACCGAGGTTACAGCTTGTGAAGGAACTGCTCTCTTAATGATACCCTCGTTGATCTATGGGATTTTTTGTCATACGAGTACTTTGCCCGCTACCAAGTTACTTATGCGGCCATGAAATTAGAAAGCCGTTCGTAATAACAATCAATAAGACATTATATACCGAGTCAAATATTATGCCATCTACATAGTGCGTAATGTTAGAAGGAATAAAAAAGCGTAATGGTGAACTAATGACGTAAGGGATCGATGACCTTACACCATGAGTTTGGGCATTCATGGCTTGAATAACCAATCAATTTAAATAAATATAATAATCAAGGAAGCACTTCCTTCCCTTTTCATTTTATAATGTTATGTTATTTTAGTGTATCAATATGGGGATATTGATTTTTATGTAGTAAAATTTATTTTTTTTGGTCGTTCATTTACTTACATGATATTACTAGTGTCCGTCCAGTAGTCGAGATTCGACTATGATTATATATTTTTTTATAAAAGCTCTAGCTCTAGCTCGTCAATAGCTAATAAACAAAAAAAAATCGGTTGACAAACAGAAGAGAAAAAGGTACTGAACGGTTTTGTCTTTGGCTATTTATATATAGATTTTGCTATTTAAATATATATATATATATATATATATATATATATATATATATATATATATATATATATATATAAATATATATATACGCATCTTAGTTGTGTCGCGCCACTCATTTAAGTTATACAGATTTATGGAAATTTAATTATATGTCCTCAGAAATGTTGACCTTTCTTTGATTCTCCAATCACGTAACTGAGTGATATCTAAAGTTGCATCTATTTTATTGTAATATTTATAGCTTTTAGACGACTTTCATACGTACGTTCTTTAAAAAAGCATTGACTGATGCGAACGGTTTTGAATGATTTTTGAAATGGTTTGGACTGAGTGTGCGGGTACTAAGTCTCAGACTAGGCTTATCTGTTAATTTTCGACGTTACGTGTGTATCAATTAATGAAAATAAAAATATACAAAATCGACAACATATATTATAGCGACTCACCCTAGCTCCGCTTGGGTTCATCCCTAGTTATTTTTTAACGTTTAGTATAAATTTCTCAGAGATGAGATATTTTCCTGCAGTAAATAGTATCCTATATGTTGATCCGGATATACTCGGATATATTTGAACATCTATAATGAACCAGCTACCATCATATCAATTTTCAAATAAATCTATCCAGTGGTTATTTCATGATACGTTCCCAGACAGACAGACAGACAAAAATTCTAAAAATTATAGATTCGGCCTCTGTATCGATAATAATGACTATTTCAATAAGATTTTCCAAAAAAATATTTAATGTATTCGACCCAAAAATTTATTATATGTATAGATTACTTCATATTTGTTACTTATTCACGCTTAAACCACTGAACAGATTTTGATGAAATTTGACAAGGACAAAGATTGTATCATAGGACACGGCTATAATAGGCTACACCTAACACGCGAGAGGAGCCGCGGCCAAACTAGTATGTCAATAAGTTACTATCAATATTTACGCAATCTCGTACCTGCACTTGTGCAAACAGAAGTAATATGTCCTTGATGTATTTAAATGCTAGTCACAGATGCGTGTCTATCCAAGAATGTTGAGCCTAAACTCTGTATCCGTATACATTTACCTTTATTTTAAATTAGACTAAACTAATTTTGATGAAACTATACTTGGGCAAGGAAATGTCTTATATAACAAGTTTAAATGTTCTTATGACATTAATTGATTAATATTTCTTTTAGTATAACATAAGAGTTAAGATTGAAAATCTATACATATAATAAAAGTGTAACTGATCGCTGTCTGTACATGGAATATATTTGAGAAAAACTATTTATTTATTAACGCAATATAATCCACAACAATGATTTTTCGATTTTTTGTCTGTTTTTCTATGAGTGTGTGACGGTTATCTCAGAAACGGCTTAACCAATTTGGGTGCGGTTTTCGCTCATATATCATGACAAGCTTCACTTAACATTTAGTGTTTGTTTTATTTCAATCGGTTCATAAATAAAAAGTTATGTCAATTTAAAGAATCATCTAGTGAACGGGTTCAAACCACGAGTCTCGCTTAAAGCGTTCTTGTCCGACTGTTCCCATTACTAGCCGTAAACCTCTGTCTCAGGCTTCACGCTCAGTTGGGTTGGGAATCTTGCTAACACAATGCATTTATATCTTTTTTTCTTGTTATAATAAAGATCTAAGAGCATTTAATTTAATTATCATACGTCTTACCCTCGCTTTTCACTGGTGCGTCCTTGGATGCCTTTTGTATTTATAATAACCAATAATATGGACTACGCGGCTTTTTGGAAATCATCACCTAGGTGTTTTTCCAGGACATAGTTTATCTGTATTCAGGCCTTTTTAACGTCCAACAGCTAGGTTAGGCCTCCCTTCAGTACGAGGGTGATCAGGCCATAAACCACCACGCTGGCTAAGTGCGGGTTTACGGACTTTACATGTGTTTCGAAAACTTGCTAGGTTCTCTCAGACATGCAGGTTTCCTAACGATGTTTTCCTTCACCGTAAGACAAATGGCAATCATGTTGGAAATGATTCGCACATAAAAATATCAGAGATGTGAGAGACCGGAAATTTGAACCCGGTTCACTCGGTTTCCAAAGCGAGCGCGTTACCACTGGACTTACTGCTTAGTTTATCTGTTTAGCAAATTTAATCATAAACCATCGATGGAGTAACAGACATACACACACAAACTCTTACATTTATGATAGTAGAGCGATAATACTGATTGAAACTTACTAAATATTTAACCCGTTTACATGAAATTAAGAAATTTAGTGCAAGTAGCTGCTTATAAAGGATTAATTTTTATGACCAAATATGGTATTAAATCAAACAAGTCACAATACATGTTTAACCTAATGTGACCTCATAAAACGACAATAGGCCGATCAGCACAGATATACGCTTATATGAATACTAATGAAGTGAACCAAACGAGGGAGCGTACTGTCCATCTGATACATATGTATATACATATATAGAAAAAGTGTACATATATCCGGGTTATTATCATAGCTTTCAACAAACATTATATAAGACATTAATTTCGTTTTAAAAAAATATTGGAAAGGTGAAAATTCCACATGCAACTTTTACTTGATACGAAATTTACTGTATTATTTTAAATTAATTATAAGAAATCACTAAGTTTTATTATATAATATTAATAAATGCATATATAATAATTTATAACTAACCTGTCATTTGCAATTGCCGTCTCGACGCTGGCGTGCGTGGAGTCCTAGGAGTCCTTGCAGCACGAGGCGTCCTAGGAGTTCTTGGAGTCCTAGTTGGGGTCTTTGGCGAGCTACCAGCACTGCGCCTTGAAGGTGATCCGAGTACTCGCAAGTCGGTGTTCTCAACACACGCTAACGCCTCTGCACCTGTCCGTGGACTTTCATTCTCTTTATCTTCACAAAACTTCACTGGGGAATCCAATTTGCTCTGATTATAAGGGCACTCAGTTTCAACATCAAAATTGAATCTTCTTATAAACCGTTTCCTATCCCTAGCATATTGTTCGGCCATAAGCCTTCTAGTTTCGTCTCTATCTGGGGCACCGAACAAACATTTGCAGCTTCCACGTCTCCGTCTTGGCGTATTAGTCCTCAGAGCCATGCTGGATGAAATCTCGAACCTGCGTTGTTTCGGAGTACGACCACCAGCCGCCATCGTCAGGTGAGTTCACAGACACATCTGACTAATAATCTCGCGAGAAAACAGCTGTCAGCGGCGAGAGGGACGGAACGCGGGGGCGAGTGAAGCACCTGGCGATCAAAGCCGCGCCAATTCTAACCTAAAAGTCGGTGGCGTGCGCATGCGCATGCCGACTTCGTACGACTGACGCTTCGTTTCCCGCGCATCGGCTCGCTTCGATTTTGGCACTTGGCGCGCAAACCCCGAGCCCAAGGACGCTTTTTATACGTCTCGGGATACAGGTGCACGTAAAGGAGTCGAGTTTAGTGTAGCAATAGCTATATGGTGACAATAAGGATAGCTGTGACGTAATCAGTTGCTGATAATTGGGTTACATAACATCAATTCAAGTTCAATGTGTAACTAGGCGTCACTATCAATATGTGTGTATAATTTTAGTCAATTATACAAAGACAAATATTTTTACATATTTTAACGTAGTACGATATCGTTCGAATAGATTCAATTATTCGATTATCGTTAAAATCGTTTTCAATTTATTATCACATATGTATCTATGTATCTATATATGTATGTATGTATATTCAGTGTATCAAATAGGTTCACTAAAATGCTAATAAGTCAATCCGTCACTATTTGTCTTACTCGTCTTACGTTACATATTTTTAAGCGCCATTTTCCTTATGTTAACTAAAATAAATCGAGACGAATGTTTTTAAATAAAAGCTCGATAAGCTCATTTAAAAAATTGTATTAAAATAATAAATTGGTTAGTATCTTAATACATTTTATTATGTAAGCTAATTAATTTTATATTCCTATGTAATTAATTTTATATTTCTATTTAGTAGTAATTTTTTGTCTGAGCTTTATATTTTATCTGATATAATAATAAACAGAGCTTTTAAAATTGGTAACTACTATGTTTGTATTTCATAGTATTACTATGAGCAACAAAGTTAACTTTGGGGCTTCGCTTCTAGATGCGTCGGTAAATGTGGCGTGATTATATCAAAAATAGGCTGTATAATGCAAAAACAAATATCTTTTGGATAAAAAAATATATCTAATATAATATATAACATCTAAAATATAAAAAGTAATATCTTTTGTTTTAAAATTGGAGCTTTTTGTTTAGTTTAAGATAGATTTAGATCTCTCTGAGTGTTTTAAAATAGAACTCGTTTCAGTTAATCATAGATACCTAATTAAAAAAAAAATTAGTAATTAGTAAATAAATAAAATAGTTTTTATATTAACAATTTTACACATTTTCTATGTTATTATGTTATCTGTGGAAATATTGAAAGACCTAAAATTATAATTATACTTTATTAAATACAGTTAAAATATAAATAACTAAGGAGGTTAACAATGTAGATGGGTGGGTTTCATATGTAAAAAGAATTAAAAAAATATGGTCGTGAACTTAAATTCAATTAAACTGTAAAAATACTTGATCAGAACAAAAACACACAAACTAACAATTATAATTATTTGAAACCAATATTTTTGAACAAGATAAAAACAAAATATAGAACTACATATAAAACTTGTTACTCATTTGTAGATCTGACATTATATGCAACTTTATAGAAGATAATCCGGTTACTCGCAGTTACTTTTAATGAGTTAAAAGCGTCGAATATTATAAAATGAATGTTAAAAGTCAATTTTATGATCAATAATTTATTGATAGTTGCAGTTTCACTTTATTTTATTATGTGATCAAAATAATTCAAAATATTGCTGTCATTAAACTCCACCGTAAAATGTTTTAATTTGGTTTCGTTTGGCGTTTTATTTTGAACTAGTGTTCATTCAGTGGACCAAATAATAAATATGTAAATAAATAACCACACGTTTGGCTCAGTTTGTAGTGACCCTACTTGCTATGCCAGCGGTCGCGTGTTCGAGTCCCGTTGAGGGCATTCATTTGTATGTTGAACACGAATGTTTGTACCTACTCCAGTCATGGATATTTATATCTATAATGTGTATGTATTAAAAATTACATATTATGTGTAGTGTATCCTCTATCTGGTATCCATAGCACAAGCCTCGTAGCTTACCATTGAACTGGATGGTGTTGTGTTAATGTCCCAACATATTTATATTTATTTATTTATTAACATATTTCTGACTACTAGTTACTACTAGCTACATAACCAAAAGATGATCAATTTTGATAATAACCCTATTTCATTATTTTAATCGTTAACACGTCTTAAACCATTAAAACAAACATTTAAAGTTTCATTCAATTCCTCGAACAAAGCTCGTTCGAACATGCTCGTAATTTCGCTGTTAATTAGTTTTCGCGGCGTTTTGTAGTACTATCTCGTTACTTTGATTATTATCATTACTTAGGTAAGGAGATGGAAGATGCTCAAGCCATTTAAGTCCCATAAAGATAAAGAAAAGATGCTCTTGCTTTTAAATGAACAATAATTTTTGGCGGCAGGCCTATCGAATCAGACCACAACATACACAACCAAGGAGGGGTCACAGTTCACTCTGCGTTCAGACAAGTACCACGAGCAATCCGCATGGTATCACCTACCTTAGGGAGCCAACTTCTAGTTTGTTGTATACTTCTAGTTTGTTAGTTTAGGTTAGTTAGTTAGTTTTAGCTTTTTAGTTGTGTAGTTTTAGTTTTCCAGATACTCCCCCCCCCACCCTCCTCCCCTCATCTCCTCCCACGACAAGGAGAACACACATCGAAGAGGTCGCAGATATGACCTGGAGTAACACACACTAATAAATATTTCCAAAAGATGGTGTTGCCTGTACATAATGCTATTAATACGAAAGGCACATAGAGACGCATCCGAACGAAGTCAGGGTAAGTCGCTAGTATCATATACATTAAAAGTTTTGAAACCATGTGGTGCTTATTTTTGAGAAAAAAAGACTATGCCGACATCAAAAGAAATGTTTGAATGCAATGAAAGCACTCAACTGAAGTGGCTGTCTACAGTGTTCAACATAGCAACATGCAAGTAGTTTTAATAATACATAATAAATAGCTTTGAATAGTGAGAGTTGGACGTAAATAGCAGTCTACATAATATCGACTTATTTAAAGAAGCAGTGACACGGAATAATTCCTAGTAGATCTTGCAAGAATTATCACGGGAAAAAAAATAATATGTTCCGAAATTGTGAATTATTGGTGTTAAATATAAATGTCTAAACCAAACCATACACAGAAAACACAATGAATTGGGCTACCGCTATACATAACATGCAATATGTATGCATTATTCATCATGTATTCTATATATCTGTAACTCAACTATGTTATCGAAATATCCTATATGTCGATTTTAACTAACATCTACTAGTCTAAGATCCCAATCTTTGTGGTGGAGCCCTCATTCTCTTTTCAGATGAAATATATTTTCTAAACCATAAGCAAATTTTTAGTGACAACCCCCCTGCGTCGTATTTGTTACCTAATATATTTTATGGTTTAAAAAAAATCGTCTGGAAAAAGAGTGAGGGGTCCACCACATAGATCGGGATTTCCTATTATAAATGTCATCTATTAATAAAAGTTTTAAATCTATGTATGCGATACATTGAACACTTTGCAATTATACTCGTATAAAATCCCGATGTCATTGCATTACATGACGTCACGTTTGGCTTAGTGTGTAGTGACCCTACTTGCTGTGTCAGCGGTCGCGGGTTCGAGTCCCGCTGGGGGCATTCATTGTGTGATTAGCACGAATGTTTATACTTCAGTCATGGGTGTTTATATTTATAATATGTATGTATTTAAAGTTATATATGTGTAGTGTTTCAACTATCTAGTATCCATAACACAAGCCTCGTAGCTTACCATGGAACTAGATGGTGCTGTGTGTTAATGTCTCGACATATTATATTAATTATATTATATTGCATTAATAATAATTTGATACCATCAGGCTGATATGAAAATAGACTCAGAAGGTGGGTAGTTCAAATCTATAATGTCTTCTATGGCTATATTTAAACTTTAAATGCGATCCTATGTTGCATTTAGTAATTATTGTCCTCTCAATTTGAAACTGAAGTTTGGGCTCATTTGATTCGATTTTAAGAATCCAGTATATTATTTTGGTCGAAACCATATTTTGAAGTCTTTTAAAATTAATCTATACACATAAGTAAAATTGAAGTCTCTGTTTGTAATGTCAAAATAACAGCTTTTTACTAAATGCATATGTATGTATACACGGTACATATACCAAAACAACATTTTTTTTACAATTTTTGTCTATCTGTCTGTCTGTTTGTTCCGGCTAATCTCTGAAATGGCTAGACTGATATTGACGGGACTTTCACTTTCAGATAGCTGATGTAATAAGGAGTAACTTAGGCTACTTTTATTTTAGAAAAAAATAGGGTCCCACGAAAATAATTTAAAACCTATGAAAAATTTAATAATATCCGATACAAATAGGAAAGCTGTGTATATACCCTAGAACAAACCCGAGCGAAACGAGGGTGAGTCGCTAGAAAATATTTATGATTACAGGTTTTAAATACTTTTTCAATTTAAAAAAAATATGCCAAAAGATTGTACAACTACAGATCATAAAAATGCACATACTAAAGTAAAAATCGTATAGTTTATAGGTAAACATTTCGCTAAAATAGGAAGTTACATCGAATTAGTTTGTCATAAACATTTATTTTGCAATGCAATTGGCAGTTATTTGAACGATGTGGCTCGAGAGTGTTCTCACTCACATTGCTTTACAAGTCCTAGAATCCACGGAATAAAAGAAATGAATCGCTTTACAAGCTATTGTGTTTTACCTTACTATGTAAAGTATCACTAATTCATCAAAGATTATACGTTGGACGTCCTTTTACATAGCCGTAAATTATAGGGATAAAATTTACTTCTTGTCGTTCGTATGATTTGAAATGCAAACTCTAAATGGTCTATTACTTTTAAAATATTTATATTTACATGTTTTACGTTAGCGGTTATAGGTGAAACTTTGTGAGTCATCATT